CTTCCTAGCCTTATAGATTCCTACACTAGCCTAGACCGAAACTGGACTGACTGGACATACCGGTACCGTTGCTGTTTTTCGGCCTCTCGGCCTCTCGGCCTCTACCGGACCCGGCTATAGGCTATAGGACCGTATACCAGTATAAGCCACTTAGGGCCTGCCTGTCCTAGGGTATCCCGGGCCTGCTATAGGCAGTTAGGGTAGCTGTAGAAATTCGTTTAGTGTCGGGGGGGCCTGTATTTTCCCGGAATTGCAATTCTGTCCCTCATGAATTTCCAAACAGGCCGGTCTCTCGGTTAGCCCTCAGCCTAACAAAATTACAAAACTAACCCTACGGTTAGTGTCCAGCCTCGCAGTCAATCTCGGCCGCAGAAATCAGCAAGTCATTGCACCAGTGCGACCTTTTCTGTTTTTGTTTTGGCTGGCGCCGCCAGCCATTTTGGTCCGGTGGTGCCGCCCCTCCGAAGAAAGCTGTATAGTTTACAACGCATTCTTAGGATGTTTCGAGTTTGCCTGTGAAAGGTAGTGGTGGTTGATTTATTTATGTGTTTCTTAAAAAAGAAATCTGCACTCAAACTTGGATCTGCATGTCAACTGTTCATGGGTGTACCAATTGAGCTATGCCCACCGGTAGGTGCTACACCCATCAGTGGGTCTCGCTCCACTACACTAGACACGAAAAAATCCGTGAGTGCTTCTAGAGCTGTCAGAGGTCCAGAACTCTTGAAAAAAGAAGAATCCCTCCACTTACTCCAGACTCTAGAACTATAGAAGCACTCACAAATTTCTCAGCCCTACATGACAGTCCCTCTACGGCGCTAGATGACAGCGCCAGCTCGTTCTGATGGTCAGGGCAGGAGGCACACTCGTGAAAAAAGAGGCCGGAGCGGGGGTAGGAGGGCGGGCGCTAGAAAACCTGAGCGTTGCAGGCTGTGAACTCTATACAAATCAAGAGTGCCCTTCGAGAGCGCTTTCTGACAGCTCTCGAAGGGTGACAGTTGTCATGAGTTCCAGTCTAGAGTAAGTGGAGCGAGGCGTTACTCTCGAAACTTCGCGAGTCTAGGGTAGTGAAGCGAGCCCCAGTAGTTAGTGGTGGTTTAAACCACCAGTACCTCACCCAGCTATTATTTTCCAATGCGGCGGTTGACGCGCCGCATTAATGCGTTGTGTCGGACGGAGGTCGAGGCAGCACCGGTCACAGCGAAATACGAGTAAAGAGAGAGAGAAAAAAAGAAGAGAAAAAAGATACTGGATTCAAACTTGGGTCTGTACTTCAACAGTTTTTCATGGGTGTTCCAACTGGCGGCCAGGTGTTTTTTTTTTTTTTTTTTTTTAAGGATTTCCATGTTCTCGTACGGAATTCAGTCTCCTTTTGCACATTCGGACCAGGGGCCTGGACCCACTAGAGGGAGGTTTAGTTTAGTTTTGGAGTTGTGTGACAGCCAGGACAGCAAAGAAAAGAAAAGCTAAAATTTGTGCAGCGGTTAGATTAATGGGCTGCCTGACAAAGATGTGCTATATCAAATTTGCATTGAGAGAGAAAAAGTAAAGAGAGACCTGACAGTTGAATCTGACGACTGACAGACCAACCACAGCTTTCTTCACACACAGGAGGCAGTCCTTGTTTCTAGCCTACTGCTTGGTAGGCTAGAATCAATGACTGCGGGCCTTTGGGCGGGAAAAGGATTGTGTGGGCATTGCCAGTGTTAAGAGACTATTCTTTTCTGTTTGTTGCCTTTCTTTGAATTTTCTTTAACATTTTATTGCATTCTTCTAAAACGCCCATGACTGGCGTCCGATCTGTTACATCCAATGGCCAAAGTGTGTCACTCGTGTCCCACTGTATTACATTTCTAAACCAAACAGCTGCTAGTGGGACCAGGCCCCAGGAGGGAGATCCCACTAGCCAGGTATGTGGATTAGTGTGACGGGTGGGGGACGGGTGGGGGACAGGTGGGTGGCAGCGTGAAATAGGGAAAATAAACGTAAAAAAACAAGGGCAAGGGTAACTCCACACACCATTTGCTGTGGTGAGGGGATCGAACCCTCCCAAACACCTCCCAAAAAATAAGGGGGCAAATGCATGTCAAAGGAAGAGGACAACAGCATTGCCCATGTGAAACATTTGCGGGGACTACAGACAACTTGGACGAGGGTCTGACACGGACTGACATTCCCTCATGATGGGAAACACCGAAAATTTTTGTTTTCGGTCTCTCTTCCACGCATGGGCCACAACCCAAAGGTGAGTGAAAGGTGAGTGAAAAGCAACACAAAAAAAATGGGTCTGATTTTCACTCACGTTTGGGACCCCCAGAGGAACACGGCAAGCAAAACAAAAGAAAGACCACCCAATGGGATGCTCCAAAAAAACATATATTTTCGAGGGCTAAAATACAGGAAAAACAAAACCACCGATCCCCATTCCCATCGACGGCGGAGGCGGGTCACACTCCCTCTATACTACTCCACATACAATGCTAGTGGGATCTCCCTCCAGGACTTCTATGATGTCAGGGGAGGTTGTAGCATACGAGTACCGATTTTGGATGAATCTAACTGTCATGTGCAGGAAGATTCACAATGTTGTTTTTTTATTTTTTTTTGGTTCTTTCGTTTCTTTATTGTCCTCCCCCGCCAGCTAGGCAGGGCAGTTCCCTGATCTTATGGCTCTTTGAAGACTCCATTGGAAAATGGATCAGACTGTAATGTACAGGAAGATTCATTGTGTTGTTTTTTGAACTTTTTTCCTTTTTTTTGGTTTTTTTCATTTCTTTATAGTCCCCTGCCAGCTAGGCAGGCGGTTCCATGTCTTCTGGGTCGAGGTCCCATTAGCAAAAGGGATAGGATCGAGCTCCTGAATCTGGATCTTGTTTTAGCACAGATGCATAAAAGCAGTTCAATCCCGATTTCCTGCACTTCTCCATAAACTCGTCCAGATTCAGGCATTCCATCCGATCCTCTTTGCTAGTGGGACCACGCCCCTGGCTCTTGGAAGAACGAATAGAACCATTTCAGGGCCAAAGCAGATGCTGTTGTTTTTTTTTGTTGTTGTCTTCTTTTAACTTTTTTTTTTGTGGTAAAAGAAAAAAACATACCTTTAAAAAAAAAAAAAAAAAGAAACTGGGTCGAGCGTCCTTCACATTTATTTCTCGGCCATGCGGGCTGGGCGAGACACTTACTTTTTTTTTTTTTTAAACAAAAAGGGGAGTATATTGTGTCATCACAAGCTGGGAAACGGCCCTCACATCAATAACCACGGCCTGCAGGGATGAACCAGGCTCTCCGGCCTGGAATAACCCCACCGCGGCTGAGTCACACCACTAATTAACATCACACCCTGATGAACTCTAATTAGCTCTAATTAACATCGGTAACCCTAACACTGAAGCACTAACCAACTAGCGTCTACACCATGGCTGAGTCACACCGTACTTAACATTGTTGACACTAATTAACATCACCCTAACTATTTCTACTTAACGTCTGTAAGTTGATGTAGCTCAGTGGTTAGAGCACCGGTTGGAAATGCGCATTGTGGTATAAGGTTGCGGGTTCAAAACCCCGCAGCCTTGCACATGGACGCCGGCAGGGCGTTAGATTGACGCACGGCTGGACACGCATGGTACTATTACAGACACTGCCTGCGCACCACCCAAGGGTAGTCCACGGTGTTGTAGGTTGGTTGTGGGTTTCACAGGGTTTGCTTGGGGTGTTGGTCTCGGGTGTTCTGATGTTCTCCCCAGTCTGGCATATCACACTATCATTCCATTTCCGGTATTTGCTCATACGGTAGAGTCTTGGATTACATGTTACAAGGTCACGGGTTCAAGCTTGGTTAGGTCGTTGGGGGAGGTCCTTGTCCAGCTGGCCCGTTCTCGCCTCGATACATGATTCACAGAGTACACATAGCTTTCGGGCATACACACATAGATTGCGAATTATATATCGCTTACAGGTTACATACACAAGGTTCCACAGATGATACTGTCTACACAGATTCACAGAATGTATACACAAAAAACAGGCTGGGGAGCTAGTCACTGGTGGGGTCTAGTGCCTGCAGTAGGTTCAGGTAGGTTGGATAGGGTGCCATTGGAGTACACATAGCTTTTGGGCATGCACACATAAATTGCGAATTATATATGGCTTACAGGTTACATACACAAGGTTCCACACATGATACTGTCTACACAAATTCACGGAATGTATACACAAAAAACAGGCTGGGGAGCTAGTCACTGGTGGGGTCTAGTGCCTGCAGTAGGTTCAGGTAGGTTGGATAGGGTGCCATTGGGTGCAGTTCCTACTGACATTCGGATAGAACTGTCTGGTGGCTATATATATGGGGCCTGTAGTTCATTGTCTGGGCCTGGCGTCCAGAGTTCCCGTTCGACAAGGTTTGTCCGATTCCGCTTCCACCAGGGCTGGGCAATCTATCAGCCCTGCTGCCTATCACTGCTGTTCGGGCCAAGTTGCCTGCCCGTGGGTAGGGCAATGGTCCTGAGTGCTGGTCACACTGAGGTAGAATAGTGGGATAGGGGGTGCGCTAGGAGTATTGACATGAGGATGGGTTGGGAGGTGGTCTCATATTCCAGGACACCCATGACTCACAGTTCCAGGTGATCACTGTGCACACACTGACTGGCCTCTACAACACCCTGGACTGAAAAAAAAAAAAAAAAAGCACAAACCAACAAGTGTCATTCACGGCATGCTCACACTTGCAGTTTGGAAAATGTATCCATCTGCATTCACACCCCCAGTTCCCCAGAGGGGAATACTTTTTTTTTCCTTTTTCGTTTTTCTTTTCGCTAATGGTTCTTTTTTTTTTTTTGGGAACGAATGGTTCTTGCAGGGTCGCCCAGCTACCAGTACCCAGACCAAAAAAAGAAAAAAAAGCTACCAGTTCGCCAGGCTCGGCAGGCTACCGGTTGCATGAGGGTCGGAGTGCATAGCTCAGCGAGGTACTGTTGGTAACCAAAAAAGCAAAAAAAAAAAAAAAAAAAAAAAAAAGAAAGCAAAAAAGGAAGGGGGATTGGGGGGGGAGAAAGAAAGCATGTGTTGTCAACAAGGTCTTGTTCCGAATGTTCCTTGTGATCTCAAT